CGTCGCCGCTCCGGGCCGGCGCCGGGCGGGAAGGCGGACGGCCTCCGGGCCCGACAGAACAAAAGCCCACACGGCCATCTTGTGACGGTAAACAGACCCCCGGCGCGGGCCACCCCGCCTCCCGTCCTCCGCGGAGACCGGCCAGAGGCGGCGCTTACCGTCCTCGAAGTCCATGGCTGAGGCTGAGGGGCGGGCGGCGGCGGCGGCGACGCGGGACTGAACGATGGCCGGCGGCGAGAGCCCGCGACCCACCGTCCCACGCTCCAGTCAGCGCGACCGAGAGCGGCGCTACCGGCCCGAGGCCACAGCGAGGCTGGGGGCGGGGCCGGCGGCGCTGCCAGACCCCGCAGCGCGGCCTGCAATTGGCTGGTGTCAGGCAGCTGGGCGGGCCCTGGGGCGGGGGCGGGAAACAGGTCGGCTGTCAGGTTAGTGGGCGCTCACCGGCCGGCCGGGACGTGCAGAGGGAGCTCCGGGAAGCGGCAGGCGGCGGAGGAGGCCGGCCCCGGCACGCCATGTTTGAAAGGTTCTGGAATACCCTCCTTCTCTGCCTCAACTCATCAAACCGTAGGTCGACCTTTGACTTCTCATTGGCTAGAGATGACTGATGAGACAAAGTTTGAGGAGTTCTGGAAGGACGTGCATGGAGAAATGATGGCCGAATATGGAAAACCGATTATGAGAATGACTCACACTGACCATCGAGCTAGCTCTCGATTTTTCTTGCGTTTTTGCTTTTTCTTTTATTATTTATTAATTTATCGTTGTACGAAGGGGTTTTAATTCCACACGTTAGTCTATGAATACAGTGCATCTTGATCGACGGTCTCCCTCTCTCCCCTTCCCATCCCTACTGTCAAGTTAACTTAGTTCGATTTCTACATAATCTATATGATGCTTGTTCTGATGTTTAAGGTGCAAGTTAAAGAGCTGGAAAGTTCCCAAATGATGAAGATTTGTCGCAGAGTCACCCCAAACGTGAAGGAAGCCCCACCCCCCCCACACACACACACTGCTATTATTGTCATCTTGGAAATGGTTATTTATTTAACACTGAAAAAAAAATCTGTTTGGGTCATTCTGGCTCGGGGGTACCTCGACCCCCAGGTTTTAAAAACCGAAACTCACTGCGCAAAAGTGGCAACAGTGGGCTTGGGAAGGTGGCTCAGGGGTAGAATGCCTGCCTTGCATGCATGAGGCCCTGGGTTTGATTCCTCAGCACCACACAAAGAGAAAAAGCCGGAAGTGGCGCTGTGGCTCAAGTGGTAGAGCGCTAGCCTTGAGCTGAAGAGCTGAGGGACAGCGCCCAGGCCCAGAGTTCAGGTCCCATAACCCACAAAAAAAAAAAAAAACAAGTGGCAACAGTGAATTGATTACCAGACAGGAATCAAAAGTATTCTCTTCTCTTCAGGGTCCAACCAGTTGCTGAAACCAAGTTCTCTGAACTGGAACAAAAATGGGTGCACTCCATGTGTATCTGTATAGTCCCAGATCTGAGCAAGGCCTATTTCCCCATCACTACTCTCCTTCTCCACCCTCGTTGACTCACTCTTCCTCACCCTTTCCTTGTTTCCTTCTCTTTGTTTTTTTTTTATTCACCTGAGAACCTGTTGAAAACTGGACTCTTATTTCCCTCCTCAAACTTGCTCCTCCTCCTGTTTTCTTTCTTGTCTGTTAGTGGCACCATGATCACCCAACCACTAATCCCAGTCAGAATGGTGTGTGGTATGCCATCTGGTCAAGACTAAGACTTCTGCCTGCCTCTCACCTCCAATCCATACTCAAGTCTTTCATGGGCTTAGTAAGTCCTCCGATTTCATAAACATGGCCCTTCCTTCCCATTCCCCTTGCCACTACCTGAGTTAAGACTCTCACATCCCAAGCCAGGTACTAGTGGCTCACACCTTATTCCTAGCTAGGAAAGTCTGTGACACTCTTATCTCCAATTAACAACCAAAAGAGCTGCAAATGGAGCTGTGGTTCAACTGATAGAGCATTAGCCTCAAGTGAAAAAAGTAAGGGACAGCACTCAGGCCCTTGGTTCAAATGCCTCTCTGTGTTTTTAGTGCTAGACATATATGTTTACCAAGTAGAACTGAGTTCTCGTTCAAGGTTTTTATTTTTATTTATTACCTATTTTCTCTCAATTTACTTTCTAGTGAAGAAATTCTTTTGTGGGGCTGGGAAGGTGGCTCAGTGGTAGAGCACTTGCCTTGCATGCCTGAGTTCGATTCCTCAGCACCACATAAGCAAAAAGAAAAAAGCCAGAAGTGGTGCTGAGGGACAGCACCCAGGCCCAGAGTTCAGGCCCCATGACCAGACCCAAAAAATAAAAATAAAAAAAGAAATTATTTTGTGGGCTGGGAATGTGGCTTAGTGGTAGATTGTTTGCCTGGCATTCATTAAGCCCTGGGTTCAATTTCTCAGTACAACATACACAGAAAAATCCAGAGATGGTGCTGTGGCTCAAGTAGTAGAGTGCTAGTCTTGAACAAAAGCTCAGGGACAGTGCCAAGGCCCTGAGTTGAAGCCGTAGGACTGGCAAAAAAGATAAAGAAAATAAAGAAGGAAAGAAATGATTTTGCAACCTACAGTCTGGCCATAACTGAAAGAGAACATTGGGACACTGTGTTTTGTCTCTCTATCTCTCTTT